GATTTTTTAATCCGCTGTAAGGAAGCTGCACCGATCCAGATCGCCGGGAGCTCATTCTGTGGTAGAGTTGTGGCCGCCTTGGGGACATGGGCAAAGCTGTGTTTTGTATGTGCTTTGTTGTAATTCCTAGCTCGATCACATCCCGTTTTATGTCCTCTGTGAAAGAGGATGCAAAGCACCAAGCGTGTCTTACCGACGAGTCGTCTCGTGCTTTCCTCAGCTGAGTGAGTCACCTGTCAGTCTTCTCAGGAGCCAGGTGGAGCACATTCCTGTCTTGCGCCCTATGACCCCAGGTCACCTTCTGCTAGTAGACAAATGGAGAATATGAACAAAAAAACTCAGTTTGCTTATAAATCCGATTTTCGATTACGGGAGGGTCCCTTTTAACATCCTCAAGGAGGGACTATTCAACGTATGTTAAGCGGGGAATAATTTCCCATAAGATATGCTGAAACAGGGGTTAATGGGGACCAGGAAGAGGGAACTAGTCCCTGGAGGATGTTAAGCTCAACATATTTCTCTGTGAGAACCGATGTCTTTCAACAGTGTTGGGCACCAGGGCCTGATGACACGAGCCTGCTGTAGTGCTCCTTTTTGTTTCCCATGTATGAGTTCGCGCTTCGTGTGTGTGTGTGTTAGTGTGTGAGCAGAATGATTACTGTACTGGCCCATGAAGCTGAGCACTTGAATGTAATTTAACCTCGTCTGAAACATTTTAGAAACACTTAGAATCTGAAAATTAACGGTGACCTAGAGAGAATGTGTTGTGTCTGCGTGTGTGAATGATGCACAGCATTTTTAAACATTATAGTCATTTAAACTGAACTTAAAATGTAAAGGTGTAGTACTTTTAACTAGTAGTGTGTCACATACCGTACAGTACACATGAAGATGAAAGTAAGACGCAGGAAAAAACTATTAAATTAAAATGTATAGTATAATACTCCATAATTACATTAAATACACCACAAAGGATAAATAGAGACATCTAATACTGTAGAGAGGAAAATCACTTTATCTAGCAACTCTTCTTGCCCTTCTTGATGTTTCTCTGAACTTTGTTTGGGTGTTTTGCCTTCAGAAGACAAAGGTGGAGCATAGAAAAGGTAGAAAAAAAACTACATAAACATTTCAAACATCTATAGCATAATCCAGTAATGTACATCTATACTTTTTTATATAAACAAAGCTATTTCGCAACAGTTTTACTAGAAATTTGCCATTTTTACTCTCTGGGCTTTGTTTTTAGTGTGCAGTTTTTGTCGTTCCGTTGTGAAGCTGGGGAATTTTTGTGTCCACGTTCATCATATTCAATGGTGTAAAAGAAAGCGGGGAAACCCCCCCCGTGTTAGCAGATAAAAAAAATGCGTTGGCCGGTATCAGCAAATAAATGTCTCGGAAAGTCACTTGCTTTGGACAAGGCGAAGATCTTTTTCTTCCGAGAGCCGATCAGATGTGCACGCTGGCACTCGAGTGTTGTAATCCTAGGTGTGGACGCGTGTTCTTCAGCAGGACTTGCAGCTTAGCGCTAGAATACCGTGGTGAGCTTCAGCTAGGTTATCACAGCTCGCCTCCTGTCTGGGGTTGTTAACCTCTCTTTTAACCGAGGGTTTTATTTTGACAGATTCGTGGATATCCCAGTCTGCCTCTTTCCCGCGAAATCAGAAGCAGCCAGGTGTCGATTCTCCGTCTCCAGCAGCTTCCTTACCGAAATCCGTCTTTCCGCCTCCAGCCGTGCAGCAGTCCTCCAAGCCCGTCAAAGTCACCTGCGCGAACTGTAAGAAGCCCCTGAGAAAGGGGCAGACCGCCTACCAGCGCAAGGGCTCGGCCCACCTCTTCTGCTCCACCACCTGCCTGTCCGCCTTCTCTCACAAGCCTGCGCCCAAGAAGAACTGCACCATGTGCAAGAAGTAAGCTTCCCGGGCCGCTGGTCTTGCGGATTGAGACCCCGAGTCTTTCAAGGGGGTTTGACTCGGGGTGGTATAGAAGCGTGCGGGCGTTCGAGATGCCGGGGCAGCTGGGCTCCTCGCTGGTAGGGGTGGAGGAGAGCTGCCGTGGCGTTTGGGCTCGGCGCGTAACGTACTGTAGGTCTTGCCAGTCTCGCGCCTTGCTCTGTGAGGGGGTGGAAACGGACATGCGTGTGAATGGGCCGTTTGGGACAGTCGCGCTGGCTGCAGGACCCTTCTGGAAGTGCCTGATGGCCTGCGGTAGTTTTCCCAGCAACAGCCCCGCCAGCGTGAAAGAGCCCTTCCTTCTCCAGGTGGCTCAGGGGCCGGTAAAGTAATTTGACTTCCTGGCCATTTTTTTTTTTCCAGTGGAGTTGGGCCACAGCTGTTGTAGTAAATTCTCTTTAATGACCTCATTTCTTTCCCTGGCATTTCTCGGTGAATTCCATTCCTTTCTCTTTTGAGCCCGTTTTTTAATCCGCTGTACGGGAGGTCCCCTCTCTGAAGCTGCCCCGATCCAGAATGCTCAGAGCTCGTTCTGGGGTCGGGTTCTGGCTGGCTCGGGCGGCTCGCCACTGCTGTGTTTGGCATGTGCGTTTTGCCGTTCTTGCAGTTTCTCTCTTGATCGAGTCCTGTTTTGTTCCCTCTGTGAAAGAGAATACAAAGCTGCAGAATTATTCATCAGCTAGTAATCTCATGCTTCCTCAACTTAGTGTCCCGTTACCTGTTAGTCTTATCGGAACGTTGAAATTGCATGTGAAATACAAATTTGCTAAGAAGAAACGGCAGAGAATTTCACCCGATGATATCCGATAAGAATGTTTCAGGTGGGGAAAACTGGATATCGGGACACGATCTGATCACTTGACAGTCCTGTTTTTGGTTCACCCTGATCAAAAATAGGGCATGCCGTCAAGATCGTAGACTGTGGGGTTTTTTTATTCCTCCAAAGTGTGCGCTCACTTCAAAGTCTCCTTTTGGTGCTGAGTGGCTCTCCGAATCGGGAGCCCCCCTCTGTGCGTGCACTCTTCCCTGACGCTGCCCTGTTTGCTTTAGAGACATCACCAGTATGAAAGGGACGATTGTGGCGCAGGTAGACTCGAGCGAATCCTTCCAGGAGTTCTGCAGCACGGGCTGTCTGTCATCGTATGAAAATAAGCAGAATCCTCCCAAAAGCACCGTCAAGACCAGGTGCACGGTCTGTGGAAAACTGACTGAGGTAATCTCTCCGAGGAGAAACCTGACGTGTGACATTCCGGCAGCTGTATTTGTTACTGCCATATCGTATTTCCAGAAAACGTTCTCCTAAAAGATAGGATTATTTTTTTCTTTTCTAATGCATGACGTGCTGTTAATCGCACGTTCAGAGAAACGCTGAATGTTATTTGTTTTGGGGGCTTGATTTGTGTCCGCACTGCAGCCCCTCTTAAGGTCGAAGTGGACGTTTGGTGAAATCTCGGAATTCCACGTTTTTAAGGGACCGCCGTTGTGCCTCTTTTTTTAATTCCCAATGTTTTTTTTTTTCCCCCATCTCCTTCAGATTCGCCACGAGGTTAGCTTTAAAAATGTCACGCACAAGATATGCAGTGATCACTGCTTTAACCGGTACAGGATGGCGAACGGCCTTATCATGAACTGTTGTGAGCAGTGTGGAGATTATCTACCCAATAAGGCTTCAGCAAACCATTTCCTCATAATTGATGGGCAGCAGAAAAGATTCTGCTGCCAGAACTGTGTCAAGGAGTACAAGCAGGTGAGTTTTATTTTGGTTGAGTTGTTTAGACGTCTTAAGTGAAATGATTCGGTTGCAGAGGAATGATCTGATCCCACAGTATGAAGTCCTGCGGTATTTTGTATGGTTGTCCTGCATCTCACAGAACAGTTTGAAAAGTTAGGATTATTAGTCAGCCTTGATTGAAGCTTACAGTCTTAACTCTCACTGCTCTGCCAAATGATCTGGTTTTGACCATTTTTAAGCATTTAATAGCAGAAGGAAATGTCAGATCAGTTTTGTGAAAAATCAGATTTGGTAATTTGTAACAATTGTTTTCCACCTGTGTGTTTCCAGCATGTTAAGAGATTATTCAGCCAGTTGGCTGGATCACAGAATGGTAAAATAGAACAGGACAAAAAGATATAAGTTATATGTTCTTCTCATAGTAAATATGTACTTTAAGTAGTATTGTGTAAAAAAGCTTTGTTTCATTTGGTTACTTTTCTCTTTGTGTAGAAAAGTGAATGAAGAGCGATATGAATTCTCAATGCAGGTGGCTCCCTCTGCTGTTCATTTCCTGGCAGTGCCTCATAAAAAATTTAGTTGCCTGCATTAAAAACTCAGACGTGTGCACAATTGCATGGACTATCAAGACAGAGCTGTGATAGACGCATGAAATCATGTAAATCTGGTTCTGCTCAATGTGGTACCGCTTTAAGAACAAGTACAGTGGGCTCTTCAGTACACAAGCTCTGTCTGGATTATGATACCGTAATGTAAAGAATAAATAACGCAAAGCTTGGATCTGGGTAGGCAGGACGTGAAAAAATCAAGCCATATTAAATCGCCGGTATGAAATCTTTTAACCTGAGTGTGATGTGAACAACCTCATTTTCTGCATTATTCAAAATAATAAAAAATTGACATTTTCCTATGTGCAATTTTAGACACATGGCAAAATAACGTGCTGTACAGGATGCAGAACTCCATGTAGATTTTTCGACATTACTCATTGCATAGGATCCAGTGGTAACATGGAGCCCTACTGCTCTACAGCGTGCATGAACTCACACAAGTCAAAGAACCCCAGACCTGCAGGTACGGGTAAGTAACTCTCTCCTGGGGGTACAGTGGGTGAACTGTCATTGTCCCTTGGGTGATGCCATCTGCTTTCTTCTTGTTTGGTTTTGTCTTTGTGTGTGTGTGGGCCATCGGGAGCAGACGAGCCTACTCATCAGGCACTCGGGTGGGATTCCACCCGTGTGCTCATTTACGTTTTCTGTACTGTCTCTGGGACAAGTCTTACACTTGTATGGCAATAATTTCAAATACTTGATTACAGTGCTCACAAAAATGACAGGAGGGGTAAATTCTCAGTAGAGAGATTGAGCAAGCATCTGCTGGGCCACCAGCCAGCCTTTGAAACCTATTGCCAGCATGCGCCGTTCTGCGAAACAGCTGATCGGCGCCGTGAGTGTTCAGGCAGCCATTCCTATGTTGAAACCGCCGTCTTGCTGCTTAAGAATCTCTTGCAGCCATGACAAAAACTAAATTCTGAAGTATTGCTTTCATTGTGGTTTCAGGAGATTTGGGAATGTTGAAATTGGCTGACAGTGCCCAGTAGAAACTCCAGTATGATTTTCTTCTTTGCTGCTTCAGTCGGAGGTTGTCTGATCCCAGTGTGTGACTGTGAAATTGGAGGCCGTCGTTTTGGGCAGCTTTGTGGCCGATAGAGGTTGGGATCGTTGCCCCTCTGGAGTCCGTTCTTGATTTAGGCTGCTCAGAGCTTCAGTTTGTAAGAGCACGTGCTGCTCATTACAATGCATAACTTCTTTTGGGGAAGCAGTACAGCAAGTTATTTTGAGGAAAGTTGTCTTCTTTTGCTAATAAATATTGATTCAGCCTCTCTAAAATACATACTCTTTTTTCCACTTGCGATGTGAAAGTCCCTTTTGCTTTGTTGGCAGATTTAGAAGCGTCCCGTTTTGACTCTCTGAATCCGCTCTTGCTTTTCTGTAGGTGCCACACCTTCGTGTCATTTCTGTAAGAGGAGTGCGCTACCTCAGTTTCAAGCCACAATGCCTGATGGGAAACTTTACAACTTCTGTAGTTCTAACTGTGTGGCAAAGTTTCAGGTAACTTCCATGTTCTTGTTCAGAAGTGTTACGGTCTTAAATATATCGAAGATTTTTTTCGGGTTAAATTCCATTTTACAATTCGAAGTTCTCCTTTTCAGTTCCACGGCATTTCTAAAGTCCTGCTGCAAAATGTCAGTTGTCTTTGATACACCTCGGAGCAGTCTGTCAAGTGCGATACAGGTATTCTTTGCTTGACGAAGACTGTGGAAGACATAAGCATTTCCTTCTTAATATAAAGCTGCAGATTTGCATTCCCGAGTGTTAGACTTTGTGGATGTAAAAAACATGCCTTGAATTCAACTGATTTAAAGTTAGCTGAATACTTTGCTTATCACCATGATAGGATTAATAATCAAAATTTAAATGTTCATCAGTATATAAATCTGATAAGTGCTCGTTTTCCGTTGGTCAAAATCAGTTTGCATGGTGAAAGAAAATCTGAACCGCAGTGCTGAATATTTTTCAGTTCATAATGAGCTTGATATTGCTCTCAAAAATGTCTTTTTTGTTCCACAGACACTGAGTGTTCAGACCACGACAAACGGACAACCAGCTCCCTCCTCAAACAATATCCAGCTGAAATGTAATTATTGTAGGGGATCATTCAGTTTAAAGCCAGAAACACTGGAATGGGAGGTAAGCTTTTTTTTTCCAATTTAATCTGTTTATATTTTTATAAACTGCCTTATAAATCCATATGCATGATTTTAACCACTGTGCCTCAAATCTGAAAGACTCACATTGTCTTAGTAACTGCAGATAAGACTGTCAGGAAGTCCTTAATCAGTGACAGCGGTGGAACATGAACAACATCGAGACGCTCTCTGTGGTTAAATGGGGTCTATGCTAACCTTTTGTAATATTAATAAAGCAGACGTGCATTTATTTATTTTTATCATTTCACTGCCGTATGGGTTTTATTTGATTATTTCACTGTGTACATTTGACCTCGACCAGCCGAGAAAGAGGCCCAGTCCAGGGAGCCCTGAGAGTTGCCTGGGTACGGCCGAGGGCTCTCTGTAGTGACAGTGCTGTTGCGGTGTGTTTTCGGGCCCCGCCCAGAAATCGCCCGTGAGCTACTTGAGAAATCTGAACGTTTTCGCTTTCGCGTAGAAACAGCTGCGCTTGCGTCCCATCTCGGCCACTGGCTGGAGAAGGTCTTGCTGCTTTGCTGTGTTACTGTCAAACGGTTTTTCGGGATGGCTCCTCGTGAATGTTTTCCTGGCGTTCACTCGTGTGTTTGGCCTGGGTTTTGGATAGGCGGGCCGACTGGCCTCTGTCCAACTGCAGCAAGCCCTGCTGTGCAAGAGTTTGCCCAGACGGTTTCTCTCAAGAAACAAACATGACAGACCCACGACACCCTGCCCTTACTACTCTGTGGACTCAGACATTCCCTGGGAACAATAATGAAAAAATAGAGCGTTTCCAAAACGGAGCACAGATCAGTTTTCCTGCATTCCTCGGTCTGAGCGATTTGCCCTTAGCGATGCCCTTGCACCTCACAGACAGCTCCGAGAGATGGCTGCTCCATTCCATTTCCAAAACCAGCTCTATCAGAGACATGACCGACAGTCACTGGGACAGAAATGTCTGATTTGCCATTCGAGCGTTTTTAGAATTTTAATGATGAGGCCTTATCGACGGTAAACTCCATCTCCGTCTTCCACTAACCTACAGCTAAGCTGTAGAAAAAATACAAAGCCACACTCATTTCATGAAACCGGTTCAATTGGTTGGCTGTTAAATGTTGTTTTAAGTTACTTGGAAACAGTTTAGGTCAAGGACAGCTGTTAGGCATCACAGTTGGCCACCATCCATGAGTGTGATCAAAGTGATCTTCAATCTGAGAGTGATTGTTTTACACGGGGTGGGTGACCTTTAACGAGAAAAAGTCATGGTCTCTGAAGTAAGAAGTAACTTCTCAGCGGCGCAAAGCTTCATTAAGATGGGAAGTTTTCATCTGAATTTCTTCTCCTTATTCTCCCAGAATAAAGTCTATCAGTTCTGCAGCAAAACCTGCTGTGATGACTACAAAAAGCTGCACTGTATTGTTACGTACTGTGAATACTGCCAAGAGGAGAAGACTCTTCATGAAACGGTAAAATTCTCAGGAGTGAAGAGACCTTTCTGCAGTGAAGGTGAGTTGGAGATGGGCTCACAGACATCTGATCCACAGTTCCTTCTCTCGCCTTTGCAGGAACATTTGAGGCCTGAAGATCATCTTTGTGAATAACAAGGTTCTTAATTTCATCATAAAACTAAGAATGGTTTATCCTGAAAGCATGATCTTGCATTTTTATGTTTTTAGCGGGATGCATCAGCTGTTCAAAATTGTGCCTGATTTATTGCTGGCAGTTTGCAAAGTAAATGTCTAATGACAAGGGAAAATGATTCCACCACAATTAATTTCACAAATAACTAACTGGCTTTTTAACTGGCTGTGGAGGGCTGCCTGGCCAGTGCCAGTATCAGGAAGTTCTTGCTGTTCTGTAAGCAAGGGGTCAGCTGGTACTGCTGTTCCGCCACTAGATGGCGCCCCTTCACCTGTCTGTGCCAGGTTTACTTTCCGAAATGCGCTCTCCCTTTTTACTGTTCTTGATCTCCACTTGCATGATTAAAGATGTCCACCTCAGGGTTTTTTTTTAATTTTCAGGCTGCAAGCTGCTTTTCAAACAGGAATTCGCGAGGCGTCTGGGCCTCAAATGCGTAACCTGCAACTACTGCTCCCAGATGTGCAAAAGAGGTGCGACTAAGGAGATCGACGGAGTGGTGCGAGACTTCTGCAGCGAGGCCTGCTCCAAGAAATTTACGGACTGGTATTACAAGGTCAGGACACCCGTGTCTGCGGCCCTGCGGGGCGCCGAGCCGCTGTATCCCAATTTATCCGAGCGTGTTCCTCTGCCTGGGCATGCACGCCGCGTTTTTGCAGTGCTCTTGCCTTCGAAGCGCGTGAATTGCACACGCTCCACTCGGCACAGGATTAGGACGCAAAGGTTATTCCAGGCTGAAGAGAGTAGAAAAGCCTTCTGCGGTTGTGAACAGTTTACCCTCTGTCCCACGTAGGGGTAGGACTGGATAGAACAGGAAGCTGCTCGGGCTAAATGCGTGTCGGGACTCCAAGCAGGCGCTCTTTGCCCATCGGGCCGCTGTCTCCCCCCGCAGGCTGCCCGCTGCGACTGCTGCAAGGTGCAGGGGAACCTGACGGAGTCGGTGCAGTGGAGGGCGGAGATGAAGCACTTCTGCGACCAGCAGTGCCTGCTGCGCTTCTACTGCCAGCAGAACGAGCCCAACATGTCCACGCAGAAGGGGCCCGAAAACCTGCCTTTCGGTACGCCCTCCTGAGGCTCCCGCAGCTAGACAGGGATCAAGATAGAATGTGTTGGTTCCTGCAAGGTTTTTGAACTTCTTCTTTCATCCTTTGTCCGCCACGATCAAATGTAATGGAGGGATTTGGAGGAATGTTCGAATTTCACCATCGTTTTGTCTGAGGTTCTAAAAGCGCCAGTGTAACAAGGCTCTAACAAAGCCGCTTTAAAAGCAACTCTCAAGAGTGAAGAAAAGGACGGGAAAGAAAACAAACAACAGGAAAGCGCTCGCATGTAGAGCTCAGCACAGTGGGTTCAGTCGCATATCGAAATATGACAAGCTCATAGTTTAACTGTGGGCTATAGAGGAGACAGTTCACACTCATACCAGAAGGGGGCACTATTGGGGTGGCGAAGAGTGCCCTGCAAAGCCTCCCAAATGCTCTTGGGGGGATTTTTGGACAGTGTTGAATCCCACCCGTCACGATGTCCCGTAGTTTCACCTGCTGTAAGGTAGAGTGGACCAAGAGTCAGGTGAAACTGGTTAAGGCACCTTGGGAGGGGAGCGTTCTGCTTCCAGATGTTTTTTGGAGCTGGAAGTTGTCATCCAGATAAGACAAGGATGGCCCAGGATGTACTTGATGTTTTTGGTGGCGTTTGCTTTTATTGTGAGGCCTGATCATTTTTATAGCGTTTCCGCAAAAGAGAGGCGAGGGGACCTGTCTTTGCAAAACCCCCAGGGGGGTGTTTCCCCACAAGCCGGTGAAGTGTATCCCAGAGTCCGGCTGGCCCCGGCGGTCTTGTCGTAGTGACACGGCAAAGAAGAAAAGCGTTTTGATTTGGAGAAGAGGGCAACCTTCTGATATTCTTCATTGTTGCGGTTGCTTTTTATAGTGGCATCAAGATTAGACTTTGTCTCCACCTCATACAAAATGATGGTCACTCCTATTCTTTTGTAACCTTGGTTTCTGCTTATGCATTCAGCTTAATTTGATTAATGTAGCACATTGTGAGTTTAAAGGCATTAAACATTGGGAAGGACCCTGATATATTTGTACGAGTAAAGGAGGGCACAGCAGATAGCGCTGCTGCAGATACTCCCTCCAGACGGGAGTCCGGGACATTTACTTCTCCCCTGGTTTTCAGGGCTTTCTTAAATCTGTCCACTCATGTGAGAATAAAAACTGCCTTCTGCATTTGTAGATGCAATTATACTGTGGTTAGAGAATCGGAAAAGCACCATAGCTTGTGAAAATTGTGTGTGTCGTTAAATGTATGAATAATTTCTCTTGTAGAAGACAAAGATGAATGGAGAATTTTTTTTCAAAGGCTTTTTTTTTGGCAGGCCAAGGCACTCAGACACAAGCAAGCAAAACTGCAGTAAGTGACCCTTTGCTTTGAAGCTTTAACAAAGGTTTTGTGTAGGATTTGTGTTGTCCTTTATAGGCGACGAACCCATGTTCATCATTTCCAACAGTAACAATGACATACTAATGGCAAACTACAGGCACAGTGTAGACAAGTGTTCCTTACTCAAGGGACCCTTGTACTTGGTGCCACTGAAAGGCTTTGACATTCAACAAGGAAGGAGCAGCTTGCCTCTAGACATTGCGCTGTCCTCTCCAGCGCTGAGCAGCCTCATGTACGAGGTCTCGCTCTGCGCTTGATGTTGTCTTTTGTCAGGCAGTTTTCTGCCAGTTAATGGGCTAATCCGCTCAGGTCTTTCCTTTTTACAGTAGGTAAACGGTTCTGCTGGTTCACTCTGTAGGCCTGACAGTAGAGAGTCCGTAAACGCAGAGCCCCTGATTTTTCCAGTGCTGCTCTTTGTTCCTCATTCTGGCCGCAAAGTGAATCCCCTTCTCAATTGCTAAATGTATTTTTCCTTGAGGTGTCGAATCAGGTTTCATCGGTGTCGTCTTACTCCAGTTCTGTGGTGAGGGAGATGAAGAACAAAGCCGTGCTGTGCAAGCCCCTGACAATGACGAAAGCCACCTACTGTAAGCCGCACATGCAGACCAAGTCCTGTCAGACAGGTACTCGAGCTCGCCGCTCGGCCCGCCGCTGCCGGAGGGGCGCCGGGGGGCGCGGCGTCTTCAAGGTGCTTTTGCTCTCTTGCAGAGGAGGTGGTGAAGACGGAATATGTTCCGGTGCCGGTGCCCGTGCCCGTGTACATTCCAGTGCCCATGAACATGTACAGCCAGGCCACGCCCACCCCCGTCACCCTTCCTGTTCCAGTAAGCGCGGGGTCTGTCCTCTCACCCGGAGCCCCGCGGGGGGCTCTGCGCCGTTCCCGTGGGCTGTGTGGGCTGTGCTGAAATTGACCGAGGCCGCAGTGCATTTCTTTTTTATTTCGAAAAAGGAAAAAAGAGAATGATTGAACGATGAAAAGATTTGCACGTCCGGCATATCCAAAGCCGGATAATTTACCGCTTTCATCTTTCGTTTTTTCGGTTGTGTTCTTTATCTGATGAGCTATTTACACTATGCCGGCGTAGGTGGGAGGTTATATCTAGAAATATACTGAGACAAAAACACAACGAATAACCGACGTTCTGGACAAAAGACTGTTTCATCCTCTTTCACAGGACACAGTCAGGTCTCGGTGGGCCACAAACCCAATACAGGCGTGCTATTAATTTTTTTTTAACTTCTCAGAACTGTTTTTTTGGGCCCTTTGTGACTTTATTCGCTCACCACGCCATATTGGAGCAGTTTCTTGGGTTTACAGACCGTGTGCAACATGTGGTTCTGTCTGAACCGTACGTGTTCCTGATCGTGGATATGAAACGGATTGAATGTGTCTTCTTTCCCTTTCCGTGCTGATTTGCTGTTTGCTGCACGTTTTGGGATGCTCGTGGTTTTAAGAGAAGATGGGCAGGACCTTTATCGCTGTGTTTTTCGCTCCCAGATCCCAGTGCCAATCTTCCTGCCTACTACCCTGGACAGCGCAGAGAAGATTGTACAGACAATCGACGAGCTCAAGGCCAAAATTCCCCCCGATCCCAGAGAGGCCGACATCTTAACCATGGCCGAAATGATCGCTGAAGAAGATGAGAAACCGGGCTGTACAGGTATCTCTTCCCTCGGGACTAAGATCAAAGGGTTTAATATATCACCGGTTTAGAAATTCAGAGCCTTGGGGATATGTGTTCTGGGCTAATTTTTTGTTAAATGGGATTTTTGCAGTGCATTGGAAATGATATATCGCCATCGGGTCACTTGTGAAAACATACTCAACATTTCCACGCTGTAGAGCACATTAAGTCAGTTTGAGTACGCGAGGCTGAGAATGTACCTTGCAGTTGAGTTTTATTAAAAGTTGAATGGGTGAATGTTCTTTTCTTCCTTCCTGTGTATTTATTTCAAGCTGTGAAAAGTGAGAATGAGATGAGTGAAGGGGGCAGTTCTGATGAGAAGGAGGAGCCGGATGATTCTTACGAACCAGACCTGGATCTGGAAAATGATTTTCCTAGAGGTATGTTGTACTGGAGTGGTTTTGCTTTGCACAGTCCTAAACCACTTGTGTGCTCGAAAGCTGCAAGACATAAGCAGCATTACGTCAGCTAAACCCTTTGTAGGAGAGAACGTCCTAGTGAGTGCCTAAGGTTTTATTTTTCAGTAATATTTACAGTTTTGTCTAATCTGGTTGTTACAGCTGTTAAAGTGGATGGCATGGTGGCACAATGCTGTTGCCCTGGGTTCGATTCTTGGGCTGCTCTCTGCATGCTCTCTTCTCCCCGTGTTCGTGTGGGTTTCCTCCAGGTGCTCCAGTTTCCTCCCACGGTCTAGCGACACGCTGGCAGGTGGAAAACTGGCCCTGGTGTGAGTGTGTGCGCCCATCCAGGGCAGGGTGTACCCGGCCTTGTGCCCATTGCTTGCTGGGATAGGCTTCGGCTCCCCTTGCAACCCTGAATTGGATCGATGGCCCACAGAATGGGTGGATAGATGGAGATTCGGAACACTGCAGTGTTGCGACACTTCCACTGCATTCAGGACCGGTTTTGGCAAAGGCTGCTGCTGAAATGGGGAGCTGGCAAGACGAAGACCAAGACAAACGTGCAGACGTGGCTCTCCAAGACATGTGGGACCTTGCCGGCAAGGGGCTGTTCCTTTTATCAGCAGGCACCTGAAGCATCTCCGGCTTCACTCAGGCTGCAGCAGTGCCTGTGGCTCGCCTGAGCTCGTCTTCTTTCCTCCCGGGACCCCAGGCAGGAGGTCACATCGGCAGTTCTGCCACGGCAGGTTTCTAAGCCTTGTCCTCCACTCTGTGCAGCTCCTGACCCGGTTGTGGAAGAGCTGGACAGCGCTTTTATGTTGCCTCTCGTGCTGGGGGAGGAAAGCGAAGAGAAGCCTCAACCTCAGGTTAAGAAGAAGGTACGGCTGTCGCTCTGAGGGAGACTGGGAAGCAGTGAGGCGCCGAAGGGAGTCGGACCTGGGTGGCTGTTTTCTTAGAGAGACGGGACTGGGGGTGGCTCCTTTGGAAGAGCTTTAAAAGCCGGAGGGGGTTTCCTGAACTGTAACTCTAATTTGAGGAGTTCTTCCGACCTGTTGCGTACTTCATGGTCATGGCTTGTGCTGAATAAAGACGTTTTAGACGACAGCAGATTTGTATTTTGAGTGAAGGTACATTTGCAGAGTTTCCAGGATATGCGCAGGAAGAGAGGATGTTGGGAGTTAAAACCGATAAAATCTGCCAGTTAGTGCTCTGAACACGATTCGATTAGATAATGACTGACATCGTCAGTTTCTAAGTGCAGGAGAATCCACTATCTGTAGGATGTTAATGTCTTCAACTTTTTTTCCTTCTCAGGGACATAAGAGAAGATTAGTTTCGGATAATTCCCACGTTGTCAGACCCGATACCCCGGACAACTCATTTGCCTTAAAGTCCACATACGGGGTGAACGCCTGGAAACGCTGGGCGTCAACTGCAGCTGAGAGCACCGAGGATGAAAAAGCAAAAGAGCTGAAGCAGAGTGAGTGTCGTGTCTTGAGCGTCCGCTGATGACACTGATAAAGAGCTGAAGCAGAGTGATCGTCGTGTCTTGAGCCTGCGCTGATGACGCTGATAAAGAGCTGCAGAAGAGGGAGTGTCGTGTCTTCAGCCTGCGCTGTTGACGCTGATAAAGACGGTCTTCCTGGAGAAGACCTGCCTGGAACTTTTAAGTACCTGGTGCAGAATTTGACAAAAGCTCAGTGTTTGTTTCCGTAGATCTATTCCCCGGCCTCCGTTGTCAATTTAATATGTCCTGTCATAACAAAGGTTGTTTTTTTGTTCCCCCCACCCCACAGCGAGGCCAGTGAGGTTAAAAAGAAATCTCCTGTCCCATGCTGCGTCCGAACTGAACTATGGGCTCTCTCGCTTCGTCAGTGAGGTCCGGAGACCAAATGGAGACAGTTATGCTCCCGATAGTGTTTTTTATCTTTGCCTTGGCATCCAGAAGGTCAGTAACTTAAGAGGAAGCTGTACTTAAACAACTTGAGCGCACTCGAGCATTTGTTACTTAGCCAGCTGCATAATCTTTTTGACCGTATCGTTTCTTGATGTCTTCCATGCTCGATGTTGACTTCAGTGGAAGAAATCAGGTTTTGAGCACAATATTTACAAATATTGATCTTTTATATCTGCGCTGAGAGCTGGTATAAAATACTGAAATGTGTCTTTCAGAACTTTCTGAGGAAAAAAGTTACTGGCTACTGTTTGAGGTCGGAAAGATTCAAATATTCAAGTTTAATTTGGAAATGGCTTCATATAGGTATTTTTTTTATAAGATCACTATTAGCCATATACAATTTCTTGTTTTGGGAATTTCTTTTCGCATACCCCAGCTTGCTTTCCATGAGACGCACAGCTTGGGGTCAGAGCGCAGGGTCGGCCATTTATACGGCACTCCTGGAGCAGTTGGGGTTAAGGGCCTCGCTCAGGGGCCCAACGGAGTAGGATTCCTCTGCCGGCCGCGGGATTTGAACCAGCAACCTTCCAGCCACAGGCACAGATCCTGAGCCTCAGAGCCACCGCTCCGCACAACCTGTTTGTGCCGGTATTGTTAGCTGCAGAAGTCGATATTTGTATAATTTTTTTATCGACTTCATAATGAGAAAAATGAAGCTATTTAAAGAGCATGTAAGATTAAGCGACTGTAACATTTCTCAGAAACATGTTTATTGCATAAATCAGATTTTTCCAAGAACATGTCTGAAATCCAAAATGTCAGAGGGCGAAAAATATGTTCCCCACTTGATGAAGCCTTTGTGCTCGGGTACAGATTAGCAGTTGTGACGAACTCCTGGCTCACCAAGTGCGCCTGAATATCATGTTTGTTTTGTCTGTTGCTTCAGACCTTTTGTTACAAGTAGGAGGCACTGCTATCTACGTGCTAAAGCCACATTGTGTTTTCCAGCACAGTGAATTGTTTTATTGGCTCCGTCACTTTATTAAATTCACTCTGGCAGCAGCCTGCTTTTCCCTAAGATAATGCTGAAGTGGAATTTTTAGGAAGCCAATACTCCATTTCTTAGAAGCATCTCTGAAGATGATGAAAACCAGAAAGCACCAGTGATCTCTGAATACATTCTTAGTAAAGGGTTAGTAGAAGTGTTCTAGCTGGTTATAGAAGAGTCAAGAGGTTTGTGATTACATTTGTACCATCATAGCAAGTAAGAGCTTTTCGTTGTATTCCAAGATCTGTTCCTCACTGTGGAAAGCTGTGCTTCAGAGTTGTGTCCAATGATTAAAACTTTATGCTGTTCACATCATGAGTTGCAGTGATTACGGTTTTATAATATGAGGACACATTTGCTGAAGTATTATTTGATGGGACTCGGTGTGCGTCTCTATTTAATTAATCTCATTTTAATGTGCAGTCCCCCGAACGCTGTAATTTTCACTATTCAAAGCAAAACCCTCTGAATTCATTTAGTTCTTGTTTCTCAAATCTCGTTCCCGAGCTCAGAGGGGTGTCCTGCTCTGACAGGCTAAACCGACTAAAGCTTTTTGTTTTTAGCCCGGAGCAGAATAGGCTCTGAGGAGGCTTCTTTCAGGTTATTCAGAGGCTTTGACAAAGCCATCCCAGTGCCTTCAGAGGGCATGGTGAAACCCAGCCCAGGGGATCACAAGTGGAGACTAAGGAGAAGTGCTTTTCCAACTGAGAACAGGAGGCACTTCTTCGAACACAGGCCAGTCGGAGTCCCGGTGTTAAAGCCGGTTCCCTGGCTTCATCCACAGACTGGCCGGCCGAGATCCTTGGACCGGTCGGAAAAAATACATGCTTGGTGCTCGATGGTGCATCGATGGTGCCCCTGACCTGCCTCCCCTTGTTGTGCAGCCATCCCTACTGTATATTCTTATTGCCAGGGGCTCCACTCTGGAGATAAGGCAGGAGCTTCAGGATTGTTCAGCCTGCTCGGTGGCTGTGCTGTGTGGCAGGGACTGACCGGGCAGCCCGTCTGCTCATGGTGTCTGAGCCCCTGGAGATGGAGTGCGTCGGTGTCCATGTGCCTGCCGCTGCAGTCTGTCACCAGTGTAAGCCATTAGGGGGCTGGTTGTAGGATTTTAATCTGGGGATAAAATTGCCGTCAGGATTCTTTCTGTGTAAAGGCCCGTCTCCGTGGTTTTGCCTCTCCAGCGATGCAGTTTCTCACTCTGACCATTCCAGACAAATACAAGAGCCTGATCACTTTTTTTTTTTTTCTCCCCCTTCAAGCATCTGCAAGAAAATGGAAGAACAGACAGCATCTTCACTGACCCTTACTATCAGTTATTTGGACAGGAGCTAAACAAACTCCTCAAAGACTGGCAGCCAAGTGTTCTCCCCGATGGTAAAGTATTTCGTGTGTCTTTGTTCCTCCCAGTGCTGCAAGTTGACAGCGTTGTCTTCACATTTTTCTTCACAAGGCAGTGCTGTGATAACCATGTGTAGGTCTCTATCACCAAGGTCTCTTTGACCTACATTCTGTTCTTTGCTTGTCAGCATATTTTGTTTTACATTCTACATACTGTGTCGGAGTTGCAGATTTCATTCTGTATTAAAAACAAACCTTTTACTTCATGCTGATTTAAGCTCGAGCAGCTCATGACAAAGCCGACAGTATTACATGTGTGTTTTGCCAGCCTAAGCAGTTTTATTCTACTGTTACTCAACCACGGCCTGTACCAGTACACCCATCCCTCGATTTTGTGAACACCCGGTTTAGGATTTGTATCTGAATGAAGCGTGTGTTTTCATACCTGTTTTTCACAAGTACAAGGAGATTTTTACTGCAACTGTAGCTGAAGGGAAGACGCCATCTTTCTATTGCATCACAGTAGTTCCTCAGTGCACCAGCGATTCTTAGAATCTTTACATCTTATTCAGCTTGTTAACTGTATTAAAAACTAGCGGTCATGTTCTTGCTTTGACAATTCAGTGCTCTGTTAAGGTAAAATGTAACTTTTGGTCATGTTTCTAAACCTCCAGGGGAAATCGAAAGGTTTTAATGTGTAATGGGAACCATTTGTAAGTCAAGGATGGTTATATAACGTATAGAAGTAATTTTTATTCCTGCACAATTTAGTCATTTTTATATCAAACGTTTCACATTTTGTACCCTGGTAACAATTGAAAACAAGACTGTTGATGGTTTACCCATTTACAGAAATGCAAGCAATTCAATGGTATTGTGTTCCCCTGAGTGATCGTGTCACATCAGTCAGGTCTGACAGCACCTATGAGTTTCTTGGAGATCTTGTGGCAGTTTTGTCAGGTGAAGTGCAAGATTATTCCTGATAAAGCTGGCGAGAGTACACCCCACCCACCCCCCTTCCCCAAACCTGTCCCATACTGAACGTCCTAAGCAGTTGTTTCTTATCTTGCAGGTTCCTTATTCTGCAGAATTGAGGAGCAGTACTTGTGGAGTAGTAAACAGTTTGGAGACCATTCGCCCATGGTTTTGCTGTGCACTCTGGTCTATTTTAACACTAAGTATTTTGGCTTAAGAACAGTGGAGCAACACTTGAGGCTGTCCTTTGTGAACGTTTACAGACAGTGGAAGAAAAGCCCTCACTCGAAAGAATCCGCTGTCCGCGTTCACATACCTTCCATCTTCGAAGATGACCTAGGTAATCCGGAACAGAAGACCGACAGGTCGTAACCTGCAGCACTAGAACTGAAAACGCACAAAA